GAGATGCCAGCCTTCCTAGGCTTCGAGGGTTGGGGTTGAGCTCGTGGCCTGCAGTCGGATTCCTGAAGCCTGGATGAAGGGGATGGATCTGGGGGCGTAATTAGAAATTGCTTTTAAAGTTGAGGGCGCCTGGGTGGCTCAGATGGTTAAGAGTCTGCCTTCGGCTCAGGTCATGATCCCAGGGTCCTGGGATCGGGTCCCGCGTCGGGCTCCCTGCTCCGCAGGAAGCCTGCTTCTCCCTCTGCTTCTCTCTCTCTCTCATGAATAAATAAATAAAATCTTAAAAAAAAAAGAAAAAAATTGTTTTAAAATTGAGATGTGTTTCTTTTAGAAAGCTGGAGGCACATAAGAGTACACGGGGGAAAACAGAAGAGGGCCACGAGCCCGGGGCCGAACGATGCCTTGCCTCACACTCTCTTTTCTAGACGGAAGCCCGTCCACACGGTCTCGCGTATCGCTGACGGCGGAGAACTCCCGCCCGCGCCCCTCCTCCCCTCCTGAGGCAGGAAGGCAGCCGGGACACCGCCCAACGCACCCTCAGCACCCACCGCACCGGCAGAGCTGCACCCGCCTTTCTCTCTGCAGGGCAGCAGCCCGGCGGCCTGAGAGCTCAGGAAACATCTGTGCCCTCTGACCCAATCATCCCACTTACGGGAACCTTCCTAAGGAAAGAATCCAAAATAGATAAAGCTTGTAGTGCCAGGCAGTGACAGCTCTGGCTAGAATCCAGTAGCTTCTCCGTTCGTAGACACAACATGCAAGATCAAGGTAGTCAGTTTCAGGCCCCTGCTGCTGCAGTCGGGGATTATTTTTTTTTTTTCTTTTTCGTGTTATTTGGGATCAGAGATAATGCTGACCATCCGTCAAACTTACAGATCTGTGAGTAGGGAACCCTGGGTACGACGAGTCTTTCCTGCAATGCTTGTAGTTGCGGTGCCCAGTACAGGGAGCTCCTGGCTACTCACACTCGGGCGGCCAGCCAGGCATGGGGGCACCTGCCAGACTGGTAGCTCAGAGACAAGTGTTTACATCTTGCTCAGAGCAGGCATTTCAGAAAGTTTGGTTTAATGAGTCCCCCTGAGGGTCCAAAGGCACACCCACCATCCCCACAGGCACCACATAAGTGATGGGATCCAATTCCAGATCTTCTGGGCCTTCTGGGGCAGCCTTGCCCAGCTCCCTTATTTTCTCTGGGACTGTTTTTCAGTCAGGACGTAGAGAGGATTACACTCCCGTGTACCTAGGCCCTCATGTCTCCTCCTGCCCCAGTGACGTGGCACAGACGGTCTCCTCTGGGTGCTCTTACGTGTGCCCGTGTAGTACCCGTAGCTGAGATGCCCCTGGAGGTCCTCAACAGCTCTCTCGTTCGCTTCTCTCAGTGTAGACGCTGAGGCGGCGTTGTCAGTTGTTGGCAATCATATGGGCCTGCGTGCTTCTACCCCTGAGTCGGCCTCCTCACCTGGGACCTCTTGCCTCCACTCTAGATGAGCTGATCAGATCTCAGGTGACAACTGATTGCTCCCACCCGGTCCGTCCTGCCCCTGCCTGTCTTCAATAACCCACAGCTTAAGGGCCAGTGGAATATGGCCTCAACGGCCCCTCCTTCCACTTTCCAGAACAGGCAGCAAGATTTGCACATGACTGCCCTCATCTGGGCTCTCACATCTCTACCCAGTGCCTCATTCTCCTTTCTTGCGCGGGGCTCAAGACCTGGGCTTGCGCTGGAATGCCGTCACCTGGGCCCTCACACCTCAGGCTGCTGTAGCCACGCTCTGATGGGGCTCGGGTCTCTGCCCCAGCGCGGCTCGCCCCAGCTCGCATGGCCGCAGCGCTCCGTGGGCACCGCGTCTTGGGTTCTCGCTCGCTGTCTCGGGGTAGGGACCCAGATCTGAGCTAACAGTCAAATGACCTCACCTGCCCCTCATTCCTCCACCCGAGGCTAGGCACCAGGAGCTGAGGGGAAAGGTGGAACTTGGGCCCACCCAGAGCTGAGGGGACTGTTGGCTGTCCTCACATGGGCCCTCCTGTTCTGTCCCCACGTAGAGATCTAGAGCCAGTTGAAAGCCCTTATACCTCAGCACCGATGTTGCCACCTGGACCTGAGGTGACAGGTGTCTCTTCTCACCTGGGACTGGTTGCATCTGTCCCAGCGTAAGCACATGGATGTGAGGTTACAGATGGGTCTCCTCACTGGGTCTATCATCTCTCTTCCCCATTGTAGGGCTCCAGAAATGAGGTGACACTTGTCTCAGTTCAGCAAGGCCCTAACTACTCGGTCAGATTGTATTCACTCAGAGCTGAGGTGACAGCTTAATGTCCCTACTTGGGACCTCATGCCTCTTCCCCATTGCAAGTTCCTAGAGCTGAGATGACAGTTGACTGTCTTCATCAGGTCCCTCCCTCTGATCCTCAGTCACCAGGGGTCAGGTGACAGTTGAGTGTCATCACCAGGGCCCTTATGTGTATGCCCCAGTGTAGCACCCAGATCTGGGGTGTCACTTGACTGCCCTCACCTGGGCCCTTGTGCCCGTCACAGTAAAGACGGAGCAGGAGGAGATCAGGAGGTCCCAACAACTCTGCCCTCCCCACTCACACACCGTCCTCATGTGTTGGGGGCCCCAGAGGAGCTGGGTCCCTCTTCTACTTTGGGCTTCTGCTGCTGCCCTTATGTGGATCTTCCCACACTTCCAAAGGCATCCTCCCTGGCGTTGCCAGGCCAGCAGGTTCCCCAGGGGGCCTGGGAACCCAAGAGGATTATCCCTGGAACACAGCTCTGCTGCATCCCCTAAAGTCTTATGAATGTCTGTGGGGCTCTGCAAAGGACTCTGAGCTTGAAGACCCCTCCTAGGGTCAGGAAGCGCTCCCGCATGTTCATTTATTTGGCTTCTCCCCGACCCGCAAGGGTTTGAAGTTATCCTCAGGTCTGTTATCTTGAGGATTCGAGGTTCCAGGGTGGTGGGCCCTAGTGGCTGGGAACTTAAGGGTAGGCAGGCTAGCACCCTCTGGTGGTAAGCGGGGGAAGGCGCGGCCACCTCTTCAGCGACCCATTCTGCTCCATTCCTGCCACCATCCCTCTTTTGTCACCCCAGCTCACCTGCCCATCCCAGGCATGTGGCTGCACCACAGTCAAGGGCAAGACCCTCTGTAGCTATGTGGGAGCCAAAGGGTTACAGGGAAGCCCGGGAGTTCCTAGGCTTGCCTCCACTAGCTCCCGGGGAGGCCTTTGCCACGGCCCCCTCTCCAGAAGGCCACAGGTGCACCAGGAAGGACCAAGGCCACTGCCTGCTGCCTGAGGCCTGGCCTCCAACCCTGTTCACATGGAGTCTTTTCGGCTGTTCTGCATGGACCTGGGCTAGGAGGGGTCCTGAGGTCCAGCTCCCACCGAGGAAAATCACCACTTTAAGGTCTGTAATCTGTCCTAATCCCATGAAGCTCCTTCCTTCCCTGTTTAGGTGACCTTGGTGATCTGCCTCCTTCCTTAACCTGAAGGCACCACCTCCCCCGGTTACAGGGGTGCAGCTTGTGTGTACAGGGGTGACACACTAGCCTAGCTTATGGGACGAGAAAAGCCCGCCGTTAAGAGTTTCTTCTTTATTTACGTATTGTTCCTGGGTGGGAACCTTGGCTCACCCCCCACAGCCAGCACTCTGTCAGGCTGTGCCTCTGTCTTCCTCACCCTCACCAGGCCCCCCCACCTGCTGTTGCCATCCCAGCCCAGGGGGACCATGCAGGAGGGAGCCCGGCTGGTTCTCAGTGGGAGGACCAGGAGAGACCCAGATGGTTAGAGCAAAAAAAAGCTCCGGGCAATTGCCTCCCAAGCAGGGTGGGGGACAGAGGGGCCAAGCCCTGACAACCACAGCGCCCTGGGCTAGGTCTTCACCTGGCCGGGAGCAGAGCATCCCTCCCGGTTTTCTGGGCTGCTGCTTCCCTCCATAAAACGTACCACCATCTCGTCATTTTGCCCTTTCGTTCCTGGTTCGCTGCATCTCCCAGAGCCCAGGCTGTGTCCTGGTGCTCGGCCAAGGGGAGCTGGCGGAGAGGGCAGGACGGACACTTAGGGGCTGCCGCCTTTGTGGGGAGTGTACTGGGATGAGCAGTGTCCCCCCAATCTGTGTCCACCTGGAACCTTGGAACGTGGCCTTGTTTGGAAATGGGAGTGTTTACAGAGAGAATCAAGGTAAGTTAGACTGAGGTCATGGAATGGAGTGGGCTCCTAATCTGACTGGCGTCCTCCTAAGAAACGAAACGAGGAGGAGACATGCACACACAGACACAAGGCAGTGCGTAGAGACAGGGGGCAGACACTGGGGTGGTGCGGCTACCAGCCAAGGAAGGCCAAGGACGCCGGCCGCACCAGCAGCTGGAAGGGGCACGGAAGGGCCCTCGAGCCTTCGGAGGGAGCGCCGCCCTGCCGACACCAGGATTCCTGCCTTCCGGCCTCGCGAGCTGTGGGAGGATGGATGTCCGCTGTCCTCCCCCTCCCCGGCTGTGGGGCCTTGTCGCAGCCACAGCCCCACCCCGGCATCCGGGGTCAGTCACAAAAGCCCACTGCCTCTCCTTCCTAAGTACTTCTGGCGTGTGAACGGCCCTCAGTGATTCTGTGACGTGACCTCACTGTGGCAGGGACAGGGTCAGGGCGGAGGCAGCCCAGGTGGGCAGCAAGTGCAGTGGAAGCATTCGCTGGAAGGTGAAAATGAATGTGACCCAATCTCGTACCCCTTCGCGGTCTGGTGATGAAATTCCATGGAGTGGGGCAGAGTGAAGAGCACAGGTGTGTGTGTGTGTGTGGGGGGGGCTCTCAGGAGGCAGCTGGGCTCAGTCATGACTACACGTGGGGTCAGGGGTGAACAAGGCCCAGACTGCCAAGCCCACGCTGGGGAGGGACGTGGATGACAAGAACCGGGTGAGGGATGGGTTCACTGGCCAGGCCGGCCCGAGGCGCAGGTGCCCTCCTCCACAGGTACAGGTGGCAGGAAGGAAACAAGCAGGGAGCAGGCGGGTGTGTTTGTGGATTTAATGGCAGGGGCTGAGATGGGGTGCGCCACTGGCTATTTCTGCTTTTCCAGTGGCAAGGGGGCCCCCTGTAGGTGCACTGAAGTGGGTGGGCCATGGAGTGCAGAACTGGGGTAGTGGGGAGAGCTGGGGGGGGGCAGAGGGGCATTCAGGGGGCCCAAGACACCGGGGACTGCTGGGCAGCAGGGAGGTCCCTTCCAGCAGGTGACCAGGAATGTCGAGTGGCACTGAGACTGGTGTGAAAACATTTGACCCCTTCCCGCCAGTTCCAAGGACCTTGCTCATAGCCAGCAGGAGTGTGGGGTGGCCACTGGCCCACGGATGCCCGCCCACTGTCCCCTCCGTCATCCCTCACTCCTGTCCTAGGTGGAGGAGCCCAGGACAGGTGGAAAAGCCACTCTGCTTCCTTCTGCTGGGGCTCAGTCCAGTGGACAGAAGCTGGCTCAGGAAGGGTCAGTGGCAGCTAGAGATGGTCACAGCGCGAGTCTCGAGTGCTTGGTGGTTGCGGAATGTAGCTAGGCCCAGGGTGGCTGGGGGCCAGGAATGTGAGGCTAAGGCCTATGGTCCTGAAGCCCTCCCGATGTGAGGCTGGGGGGGGCAGGGAGGGGGGAAGGACGAAGACAGACGGGGCCAAGGTGGGTGGGGTGGGGACCTGGGGCTCAGGGCTCAGAGCTTGTGGGGATTCACCCACTTGTAGGTGCCCTCGTACTGGAAGCCCACTCTCTTCATCAGCTCATCTGCCTCCGCGGGGCCTCGGCTGGGAGAGTGACAGGCAGAGGGGAGATGTGAGGGAGCCCCTGGGCTCCTGTGCCCCAACCCCCCCAGTCCCATCCTTCCCTCCCTGCCCGGCCCCTCACCTGCCATAAACATAAGGGATGGGCTGGAGCTTCTCGCGCTCAATCTTGTGCAACAAGGGCGTAAAGATCCGCCAGGCTTCCCGGAGCTCGTCACTGAGGGGGCACAGTATGGCTTTGGGGGGTGTTCGTGGGGGCGGGGAGGGGGTTAGGGAGGGAGAAGGCTGCCGCATCACCTGGAGCCCAGCTCAGCCCCAGCACACACACGGGGCACAGGGGACCCCTCACCTGCGCACAAAGTGCATCTGGTTCCCACAGAAGACATCCAGGATGAGGCGCTCGTAGGCATCGGGGAGCTTCACGTTCTACAAGGAGGGTCCCTGCTGAAGCTGCCTGTCCACGCAGAGCCCCCCGGCCACCCCTACCCTGGGCCAAGTGTCCACCTTGTATCTGTTGCCGTAGGTCAGGTCCAGCTCGGACTCCTCAGGGTTGAAGAACATGCCGGGCTTCTTGGTCATCATCTTGGTGTACACGGCCTCGTTGGGCTGCACGCGGATCACCAGCTCATTGCGCTTGCACTGCTGCTGGAAGATGTCGCCAGCCACGTCGCGGAACTGCAGACGCACCTCAGCCTTGCGCTCGTTCAGCGCTTTGCCACAGCGCAGGATGAACGGCACCCCTGGTCAGGGCACAGCCGGATTCAGGACCCACCCTGCCGGCGGCCCAGGCGTGAGGGCACGGGACAGGGTGCGTGCGTGGGGCCGGGGGGGGGGGGGCTCCCCAGGGCTACGGCGGCCCCGCCTACCAGGCCCGGAGGCGTCACCTACCGTCCCACCTCTCGTTTTCCACATAAAGGACGACGGCGGCAAAGGTCGCAGTGGTGGACCCGCGGGGCACTGTGGGGTCATCCAAGTACCCTTTGGTGGACTCCCCCTCTCCGTTGGGGTTCCCGACATACTGGCCCAGGACCACGTTGTCTGCTTGCACCTCTGAGATACACTTTAACACCTTGACCTGGAAGAGAGCCAGCAAAGAGAGGCTCCTTGGGTAAGGGGATGGAGCAGCCGTGTGGGGGGCAGAGGGCAGTAGGCCCGAGGAAACCAGGGGACCTAGCAGGGTGGGCTTCCCGGCGGAGTGGTGCACAGGCAGGAGGATGGGCACCATCAGCTTGGCTCACCCTGCTGAGGCCATGGCCGTGGCGCTCCTACCCAAGGGCTCCCTGGGACCACCTGGACCCGCCCCCATCTTCTTCTGAAGGAGAGGCGATGGGTCTGCCCGGGGAACCCGACAGTCACTGCCAGTCCTGGCAAAAGGGACCAGGAGGGGGCACCTCCACCCACCTTCTCATCACGGACGTCATCCGAGTCCGTGGAGGCAGGCTTCTCCATGGCCACCAGACATAGCATCTGCAGGAGGTGGTTCTGCATCACGTCCCTGCAGAGAGAGAAGCAAGTGGAACTTGGCTCGGGGGCATTTGAGCGGGGAGGAAGGAGCAAGGAGGGGGCTCACCTCCACCCCCTCCCTGTCAGCCAGGTTCCGGGGACTCAGCACCTCAAGTAGGGCTTTCTAGCAACAAGCTATGACACTTGCTTCCTGAGCTCACATCTACCCTTGAGGTCCCCTTAGGCAAGGGAAGAGACAGTGACCCCTCCCTTCACAGCCACCACTGACCACTCAAGACACCCACTTGTGAATCTGAATTTTGGGGTGGGAGGAGGAGCTCCCCAGAACAGGGAGGGGTGACCCTGCAGAATGGCAGGATCGCACCCCTTGCCTGTGCTGACCTCCCAGGAAAGGGAACAGGCTCTCACCGGATGATCCCAAATTCATCAAAGTAGCCCCCACGGCCCTCAGTGCCAAAGGGCTCCTTGAAAGTGAGGATGATGCAGGCAATGTTGTCCCGGTTCCAGATGGGGCCAAAGATCCTGTTGGCAAACCTGCGGAAGGGGCAGCGTGGAGGGTGCTGCTGTATCCTTGGGGGCAACAGCAGGGTGGGCTGGGCCCCATGAGCGCCCACCCCGGACCCAGTCCCCCTCCACCCTGTCGCCCAGGCCTGGCCCTGGCCACACCTCAGCACCATGAGGTTCTGGACCATCTCCTTGCCCAGGTAGTGGTCGATGCGGTAGATCTGGTCCTCACGGAACAAGGAGGAGATGTGGTTGGACAGCCTGTCGGAGCTCTGCAGGTCCCTCCCGAAGGGCTTCTCCACAATGACACGGTTCCAGCCTCTGTGGGAGCCCAGAGCTGTGTCACCCCATACCCTCCCCGGGCAGCAGGGGCCAGAACCTCACCTTCCCCCAGGTCGCACTCCCTGGGAAGAGGCAGAGCCTTCCCTCCCCGTGTCTGCACTTAGGTGACTGGCAAAGCTCTGCTGGTTGGGCCCCTCTGCCCCACCTTTGGCAGATTCCCCAGACCCCAGGACACCTCCTGTGCCCCCCAGCCCTCAATGCCACACTGAGAACTTCCTCAGAAGCCTTCCTGCCCGACCCGCTGGTCACGAGGATGAGCGGTCCCACTCCCTCTCAGGCCCACACTGGGTCTTCCAGTAGGTCAGGGTGGCCTGGGAGCAGGTGGGGGAGCCGGGGGAGGGGATGCAAGGGCACAGCTGCCTCTGCGGACTTAAAATGGCCAAACGTCCCTTTCTTTGCTATTCCCCGTGAACAGTTAACGGGGCACTTTGCGTTCAAAACCAGAACAAAGTGAAACAGATGACTGTGTCTTTGAGAGAAAGACGGACTGGCAGCACCAGCGCTCAAGAAGCAGCAAAATTCTTGTGGGGCAGTACCGCCACCTTGTGGGCATGAAGGGGACCTGGGGAAGCACCGAAAAACCAGAGAATAAGCGACCGGCAGCAGGAGTTTCATGGAGCGACACTGCCACCTTGTGGGCATGAAGGGGACCTGGGGAAGCACCGAAAAACCAGAGAATAAGCGACCAGCAGCAGGAGTTTCATGGAGCGACACTGCCACCTTGTGGAACTCGCAGGAACAGCGGCCAGGGAATGTTGGATTTCTAGCAAGGAGGGTCATCAGGAAGATTTCCAAGGTACGTAAGTGCGGTAGCATTCTTGGTAAATGCTATTAGAAAGCCCCTGTATTCATACCCTGTTCTCTTCTTTGGAGAGCTAACTCATGCAGAGAACAAACAGGGGTCACCATCTTTTTCAGACTTGGTAGACTGGTTTGCCCCAGGGACTCTGGACAACTGCCAAAGCTGGCCAGACCAGGACAGGGCACACCTAGGAAGCAGGAAGGGCAAAAGACAAGCCTTACGTCTGGCTCATGCAGGTCTCGTGGATTTTCTTGGTGACTGCCTCGTAGACTGTGGGGGGCAAGGCCAGGTAAAAGAGGCGGTTGGCCTGTGGCCCCTGGTGGAGGGCATTCATGTGGCTGTTGAGGCGCTCGTAGGAGGCCGTGTCGTCATACTGGCCAGCCACATAGGAGTTGCGGGCAAAGAACTCCTCCAGCTTGGGCTTCTCCTCTGGTGTGGCCTGAGAAAGATGGATACAGGGACACTGGCCCCTCCCTGACCCTCCCTCTCTCATAGCCCATAGCCCCAGCGGGCTCTGTCAGAAGTCAGTCACCCTAACTCCACACTGGGTTCATACCCATCTCGTCAGCTATGCCCACCTACAGGGGGAGGCCGAGGCAGCACGACACTGCAGGGAACAGTGCCCGGCAGTCCCAGGCTGGGCCCACGGTCTGCAGTCACCCCCGGGGGCCTCGGGCCCTGACACAGAAGTTACATTTCAGGAAGCTGTGACCTGGCAGAGCTCTCTCCGAAGTCAGGACACCAAACTCTGGTGTGCTGGGAAGAGGCAGATGTGTAAGATTTTTGTGCTGAAGACATTGTTTCAGCTCCTGGCCGGGACGGTGGGGGTGGCAGTGGCGTGGGAGGCACAGCAGGGAGGACCCGGTGTGTCCAGGTCAGACGGGAGCTGGAAACAGGGGTCTCAGGCCGGAAGGGTCCCTGCACCTTGCCCTACGCTACTCCTGTCATCCAAGAAGCGGCAAGAGCAGGCGACTGCTCTGGGGAAGGCAATGGGGAGAAGTGCTAGGGCAGGAGAGGCTCCAAGCAGTCTTCCTAACGTGGCCCTGCCCGTCCGCCATGGCCGGGGAGAAGGGGGCCTGTCCCAGGGAAGAAGAAGCAGAGAGCAGAAGTGGGAGGAGGGAAGGGCCTCCTTGGGTGGGATGGAAGGGGGGCTGTCCCTCCTGGAGACCCCTGGAAGCCACTCACTTTGAAGAAGGGCTCGCTCTGTTTCCGGATGTCGGCCACTGTGAGGCGGGAGCGGGCGTAGCCCACGATGAAGGTGTCTTCGGGCAGAAGGCCATCCCGGAACAGCCACCTGAGGGCACGCCATGGCTGTGGCCGGGATGGGGGGGGCAGGGAGCACTGGGGACAGTGGGACGGTGGGAGGACACGCTTACCAGATGGTGGGGTAGATCTTCTTTTTGGCCAGGTCGCCCTGTAGCGGAGGGAACAGGCATGGTTAGGAGACGCTGGGGGCATGACCTAGATGGTCTCCTCCCTTTCAACCTGGGCACCCGCTCAAGGTCACCGTTCAGCGGCAAGCATATCCGTCTCAAATGGGAGACTGTGCTAGCCCTTTACCCTGACCCTGAGCTGCCAGTAGGCACCCCGACCAAGCTGCCTGCCCTGCAATCACACAGACCACAGCCTCTGGTCACAGTGCAAGCAAGCGGAGCCACACCCAGGCCAAACAGCCTGCTGCTGAACAGCCTACAAGCTAAAGAAGAAAACCTGAAAACTCTAGAACCAAATGGCAACAAAAGTAGCAGATAGCAAAACCTATGGGACGTGGCCTGAGATGCTGCCTTTAGCTCGGGACTAATGAGCTCAGGGCCTGATTTAAGAAGTCAGACAAAACAGTAAAATTGTAAAGCCAAACAAATTACAGGGCAGAAAATAATGAAAAATAAAAATTAATAAAATAGAAAATAAACCAAAAGAAAATATCAAGAAAGCCAAAAGCTCGTATTTGAAAAGCACTAATAAAAACAGACAACCCTCTGGCAAGACTACTTTTTTATTTTTTATTTATTTTATTTTATTTTTTTTTAAAGATTTTATTTATTTATTCATGAGAGATAGAGAGAGAGAGAGAGAGAGAGAGAGAGAGAGAGAGAAGCAGAGGGAGAAGCAGGCTCCCAAGGAGCAGGGAGCCTGATGTGGGACTCGATCCCAGGACCCTGGGATCATGACCTGAGCTGAAGGCAGACGCTTAACCATCTGAGCCACCCAGGCGCCCAAGACTACTTTTTTAAAAGGCACCAAGAATTAGGAGTGCGGGGCGCCTGGGTGGCTCAGTCGTTGAGCGTCTGCCTTTGGCTCGGGTCAGGATTCCGGGGGTCCTGGGATCGAGCCCCGCATCGGGCTCCCTGCTCAGCGGGAAGCCTGCTTCTCCCTCTCCCACTCCCCCTGCTTGTGTTCCCTCTCTTGCTGTCTCTCTCTGTCAAATAAATGAAATCTTAAATAAAAAAAAGAATTAGGAGTGCAACAGGACAAGAGTACAATCAGGAAAACACGGAAGGGGATTTTATGAACAACCTTATGCCATGTCTGACAACTTAGATGAAATGGACAAATTTCTATAAAAATCCAGTCTACCAAAACAGAGACAGGAACCTGAGTGGGGAGCGGTCATTAAGGAAACTGGATCGTGGCCACAAACTTTTCCACCAAGGCATCTCCAACACTGACCCTGGCATAGAACTTCACTGGTGGATTCTACCAAAATGCCAGAAACAGGAAAGTCCCTTCTGAGGCAGATTCTGCCTATAATCCAGAATATATAACCTACTCCTACACCAAAATAAGGAAACAATCCAATGGAAAAGTGACCAGATACTTCACGAGGAAGAGAAATGAAGAGCTAACAAACACATGAGAAAGTGCTCAAGATCACCGGTTGTCAGGAAAACGCAAATGAAGCCACTAGATGCTGTTTCATGTCCATTAGAACGGCTGTAATCCAGAAGACTGACAACACCAAGCATTAGAGAGGATGTTCACAGCAGCCTCAACTCACAGCTGCCCTGCGCTGGAGACAACCCAGATGCTCAATCACCAGGTAGATGGACAAGCTGAGAATGAAGTTCTAGGATAGGCAAAACTAATCATTTGTGGTAGAAATTACATCGCTGGTTGTTTGGGGCGGATTGACCGGGATGGCCATCTAAGAACTTTCTGGAGAGATGGCAAGAAAGGCCCTCTATTGTTTTGTTTGTTTTTACTTATTTATTTGAGAGAGACAGAGAGAGAGCGAGAGAGAGAGCACAAAAATGGAGGGGGGGCAAAGGGAGGAGGAGGAGGAGGAGAATCTCCAGCAGACTCCCTGCTGAGCATGACGCCCAACTTGTGGCTCGATCCAGGGCCCCGAGATCACGACCTGAGCCGAAATCAAGAGTCGGATGCTCAACTGACTGAGCCGTCCAGGCGCCCATCACACTACTGTGTAGACTTTGTGGATATGCGAAATTTTCCACAATAAAAAGGTGTGAACACATGGCAACTTCAAGCAACAATATGGCAGATCCCAGGAAATTCCACAGAGGACTCCCTAGAAAGAGTCACAGAGTTCCTTCTCCCCAGGCTCCCGTTCGGTCACTGCAGCCATCCCAATATGCTTTAACTTTGTGACCTGACAAAGGAATTGTCTACTCCAGGTGGAAGAGGAAGGGGCAAGAATGGCCACAGGCTCCTGAAGAACAGAAGAGCAGAGCACCCTTTCATCTGCCTACCCTGTAATTAGAGCATGGGATGGGCCTGGGCTGTGAACCCACGCTCCACCGAGCATTGCCGATCAGTGGGGAGAGAGTAAGGCAAGCTGGGGTGCACTGGACTTGCCGTAGTCAGAAAAACGAACTCCAGGACTAAGGACCTGAATGTTCAATGCAAAATTACCTTTTAGTAGCCACGTAACCATTGGATAAGCTCATTTCTATGAACTTATGAACCCACAAAATGGAAGCCACATGGTCAGAACCAAAGTAATGCCAACCTGGTTCAATCCCCACCAGGGATAAGTGGTTAGGAAGGCACCCAGGGGGCTCTGGGGTGGGAAATCCCTCCTCTGGGTGGGGGCGGGTGCAGGCTCAGGGGCGCCTTGTGCCTCCAACGTTCGAGTTTCCTCCTGTCCTTTGCTCCACCTCAAGTCTCCTGGGGTGACCTGATGTCCCCCCGGGGCTTTAGGTGAGGACCTGCATGTGGACCCCTCCACGCGTGTATCCCTGCCCAGACTTTAGTGAGCACTGAACCCACATAGTCAAATGTCTACTGGTCATCTCCAGGCTCCACTGGAACCCCAAACTCCCAAACCGGGTGTTTCCTGAAGCAGGGTGCCCTGTGTTGGTGCCCCTGCTCACACCTGCTAACTGTTCACCACTGATCTCCCGAGCAATGTGGAGTGGGTCCCTGTTGTAATGGCCACCTTCACGATGGCTGCTGTCACTGGTCCTTCATGGTCTGACTCCAGCCGCCAGCCCGGGAAGCTAGCTCCCTGCCCATGTCCCTCATTGCCCAGGGGCCCCCACTAGGGCACCCTCACAGCGAATCGGCAGTGGCCGCCTCTGGCTTCTCCCATCGGCGGGACCAGAGGCACACTCTGCTCAGGTCACCTCAGCCCTGCATGCTCCGGGAGAAACAATCAGCAGCACGGCCCGCAAACACCTCCCAACCTTCCTTGTGGCAGGTGATGTTTGCTTATGATCAAATTCCAGCGGGCTGAGAGGAATTGGGATAGGCTGCGGGCAGCGGACTGGTAGCGGGGGACTAGTCTCCTGTCTGCTGAGTCACAGTGCCCAACACCCCAAGCTCTTTGTTCCTGCGGCTCCCCTTGGGATTAACTACTGACTGAACCTGCTCGCCTTGTTCAGCTCAGCCCCAGCAGCCAGAGGCCTGCCGGGCTCCAAGTCGGGGTCCTGCTCCTCCTCACGGGAAGTGCGGTGGCTGGCCCTCCCCGCCAGCCCCAACCAGACGCCTCTGCAAGACTGAAGACGGGAAGACCTCGACCAAACCTCGGTACACTGTGTGTGGGGGTCGGGGAGATAACAGGGTCTCTTGGTGAAATGCGCCTCAGAGGCCTCCTGTCTTTCCCAACCCCCGTCATTTCTGTCTGAGGACCACAGTGGGGAAAGAGCTGCCCGGGGACATGTGGTGACTTTAGCAGGAGCAGTAGGACCTCATTAACATCTCCAGCTACCAATATGTGTCCCAGCTGGGGCAAAGGGACTTGGGCCACTGCTTGCCTGTTGCCACCTAGGTTGGACCTCAGCTTCTGGTTTTAAAAGCCCAAACCACCGCTGACATCTCTGTTTGAGGATTTGAGGGCGGAGGGCGCAGCACAGAGCTTCAGAGGCTGGCCGCCAGCTGGAGGCATGGGAGGGGTGGGCCATCCCCGGCCCCCGAGGGTCACCCGGGTCAAGGATCTGCCTGGCCTCATGGGGTGGAGTCTGGGCCCTGGCTGGGGCCCAGCTGGCTCCTGGAACCGGGGAGAGAGAACCTGGGGGCTGTTGAGGTAGGCTCCCTCCTCCACCCTGGGGCTCATGAATCATCAGGCCTTTGGGGAAGTGCCAAGGTCATCATGACACAGCAAGAATCTTATCGACCCAAGGGGGAAAAGCAGCCCAGAAATGTCCCCAAAAGAGAGGGGGGCCAGGATTACCAGGTCACCCCTTGCCTAGGCGCATATTGGGATGAGGCCTGAACACCCATCAGGTCCATGGTCCTTACGGTCCAGGTGGGGAGACTGAGGTCCAGAGAGGTGAGGGGCTTGCTGAGAGCCCTGCAGCGAGCCAATCCTGCCCACGCAGACTCCCTGTCCTGTTCTCTCCCTGCTCCTCCATTCCGTTCTCCATCCCCTGTCGGGGAGAGTCCTCTAGCCTGTCTGAGGTCCTATCAGATGGGGGAGGACATGATTTGCCAGGCCCAAGGTTCCCCTCTCCCCAACACTGGTCTCTAAGGAGAAACTGGCTTCTTTCATTCCAGAGCTTTCCAGACAGGGAGAGTAGGTATCTCCACGCCCTTCCTGGCTGGGGGTGGGAGTTCTGAGAAGGGGGTAAGTGGCCACATGGGAGGAACAAAGAGCAGCTCAAAGCCTATTGGGTAACTGTGAGCCAGCATCAGGATGCCTCAGGAAGGAAGCTGGGTGTGAGAGCAAGGCTTGGGTAAGCAGGTGAGGAAGGAGGAAGGGGTAGGGGACAGCCATGTGGGCCCAGCCTGCCCTGGGGCATCCGCCACTGGGGGCTCTGCGTGTGCTCTTCTCTTTGCATGGAACTTTCCCTGAACCGGGCTCTGCAGATCTCATGCTGCAAGCCCTCTGCCTGGGACTTGTGTGCTGGAGGTGGCTGGGGACACAAGGGCCCATTTGTGTTTTCGGTCACATGTGCCACTAGGAGCTCTGATTGGGCTACTAACTCCCCTTGGGTCCCTTCCCCCCAGCACAGAGATCACACAGGGAAGGCAGGGCCGGTGCTCACTATACGGTAGAGGAGGCACTTGATCACTTTGTTGGGTGAATGAGCAGTGAACTTGCTGGTTTCCCAGAAGAGCAGGTTCTGGGAGAGTGGGAGCTGTTCTAGATGCTGCCTGAGCATGGGAGGCCCACCCACCTGGCTCCAGTCCCCTTGAGCCAACAACTCAGGACAAGGGGTTCCTCTCCCACCCCACTCTGCTGTAGTAGCACTTCCCATTTCTGCTCTGGAAGCGTCTGGTTGTCACTCTCGGAGCAGAGGAGAGCAAAGGGGAACCCTACCAATTGCAAAGAAAAGTTGCTCAACCCCAAGCTGGCCACAGGCGAAGGCAGTGAGCTAGTCACAGAATCAGCTCAGCCCGAGGTCCCTTGACATTTGTTTCAAAAGCCCTCATTTGCTCCGCAGAAACACTTGAAGTGCAGAGAAGAAAAGACACCTGCCAGTCATACAGCAAGCTTGGGTGCTCTCAACAAAGCATCTAAGAGTTGAGAGCCTGGAGTCCTAAGCCATTTCTTATGGCCTGGGATCCTCTGGTGGAGCTTCCTATGACAGCCCGGTATGGGGGTGGGGCAAGGAGGAGGAATAATCCTGAGTAACTTTCTCCTCCAACCAGTTTCCTGGACCAAGGGCCTAATGGTCAGAGTCCTAGGTGTGAGAGTTTGTGGCCAACACAGGTTTGCCTCCTCTAAGGAGAACATGCTGGGGCCAGGGTAGAGGCTAAGCCTGCTCCCCCCCAACCCATGTCCCTGGGTCCCCCCACCCTAGGAGTTACGGAGTCAGACGACAGTGCTTGGGGTAGCCCACCTTCCTTCCCTCCCTCCATCCCTCTGGCAGAGCCCTACCTCCACCCCCAGCACTGCTGAGTTCTGATCAGAATCACAAAAGCTGGCGGGGAGCAGGCTCTGCAAAGGGCAGTGGCACCTTATGATACATGAACAAAGAAACAAGTTCTGCCAGAGCTAAGGAGACCTTGACATGGAAGGGCACAGAGAGACAATGCCTACCCTGTCAAGAGCTAGCTAGTTTGGGTGGGATTCTTTCGTAAGATTATACAACAAGTTACTGGCAGAAATGGTCACAGGATGGTTAGCAGGTTCTTCGTCATGCCTAAGGTGAAAACGAAGAGAGATCGCTTTTACTTGGAGACAAAACCCCGGCAGCTCATCTTGCCACCCAGCAGATCTTGTTTCTACGTGGCACACCGGCACGGTGCTTTAGTCTGGGGGTCATGGCTCCACTAAGACCCAACCTCCCTCTCCTGTCCCCCCTCCATCATGTACGGTCCATGGGCTATACCTCTGCCTTTGGTTCTACCCTTTTGATCTTCTAGAACAAAATGGCAGTTCCACAGGCTAAACAACGGGGTGGGGAGAGACAGGTCATAGCTCCTCAGCAGGCCTTGGAAACTGGGGTAATGACATGGTGTTCAAAGGAAGGTCAAGTGTTTGTTCCCAGGGAACTTGCGGTAGAGACAGACAAGGTGGAGTTCAGGCCTCAGATCCTGCCTTTGGAACTGACGGTGAGACATCTACCAAGTCACAAACAGGTTTGAAAAAAGATACAGCATGAATAGCCTGCCCTGCAGTTTTCCCTGTGGAGAAGAAGTCCAACGAGACAGTTTTTCAGGTCCTCCCAGTTCCAGGACACGGGTCTACGGTCAATGGCCTCGCACAGATATCAGAACAGCCTGGCAGTGCATCTATGCTGGGTGGTACTGGGATGAGAGTGGCGCACAGGCAGGACCAAGAGAGAGAGCCCAACTGAGCAGAACCCCTGGGGCCCCAAGACAATCAGCTGGGAAAGCCCAGGCACCCAGCAGGAAGGGACCTGAGGCAATGTCACACTCTACGCTTGGTTTTTAAGGTGTGGGGTCTGGGGGAGACTCACCGATGCACCCATGATGATGAAGATATGTGTATCAGATTGATGGAAGGCATTGCCCTGATACAGCTCTTCCCGCAGGATTCCGCACACCTGGGTCCGGCTCAGGGCCACCTGTTCTGCCATGATGCTCTCTGGTTAAAGAAAGGCTCGTTGACAAAGCAGAAGAACAGAAGAGCATAGGGAAGTTGGCCACTTTCTGGAGGGGGTCCTTTGGGGTCTCACCCCATGACGCCTGATTATTGAAACCACTCACTGAATGGCTGGGGGCTTAGAAAACTGCAGGCTCTGGGCTCCCACCATACTCTCCAGGCGGCTTTATTTCACGGCGTACTTTACAGAATTACTCAAAGCACTAGTGGATTCCAGCTAGGAATCCTCAACGCTCCAGCCTCAACTCTGCGGGACCAAGTAAAGCTGCTGGAGCGTTGCACAAGTTGCCCAGGACCATCTCACCCCGGACTCAAGCGAAAACTCCACAATGAGCTGGAGCATGTTAGACTGTACCGATGACGGAGTGCAGCTCCAGCACTCCTCCTGCCCAGCCGGGAGACGCCGGCGGGTCGCCACCCCTCTCAGGGTCCCAGTCTCCTCAGGGGTCCAATGGAGGGATGCAGGGGACATTGGGGATCGGTTAAACCCACTCGATTTTGCCCCGCTCCCAAGCATGGCAAATCAAAGGGCCTCGCGGCAGAACACGTTCCTCCGCTGGCGTGGCGCCTATAGCCACTACGTTACCTGCGCCTCGCCGCCGTCGAACGCCGCGCTCAAACCCTCAGAATTCCCGGCCGTTTCCGGGGGCTGCGCCCAGCCGGCTCATTTAACCAGCGGGGGCGGGCGCCTGGGCTGAGCTGACCGGCCTCAGGCGAGGCGCGTGGGCGGGCCCGCAGTGGGCCCCTCCCCCCGTGGGCGGGGCGGAGCCAGGGCGCGAGAGGTGCGCGCGCATCCCGCGCTGGGCCCCCGCCCTCCAGCCGCGTAAGGCTCCCACCCTTGGCCCGCCCCGCCCCTTGGGCACCTGCGCGGGCAGCCAGGCTGCCGGGCGCCTTCTCTCCCCACCGCCGCTGTGCTGCGTCCTCGGTACCTCGCGAGTCCGCGTACAGCTTTGCACCGTTCGCCCGCGTACCCATCGCTGGCTCGGTCCAACCCTACAGTCCAGTTTTCTCGCCCGTCCCGGGCGGCCGCGCGCCCTCGCGGAGGGCTCCACTTCCGCCGGCAGTGTGGCCACGCCTCCTCGACCCTGTTCCTGGGCGGGGCCTTCTGCAGCCCAGTAGGGCTCCCTATTAGCTCCTCCCCTGGCGGGGGCGGGGCGGCCCAACACCCGAGAAACGACGGGGAGAGTGGGTCGCGACTCCCCAAAAAGTAGCAGGTGCTGCATATCACTAGGAACGTCCTGTGGGCCGGCCAAGGCTGGCGGACTCGGGTTCCACTCTGGAACAGCCTCTGGCACACCTCTGCGGGGTCCCGAGTGGGGGCGGGACTTGCGTGTTTTATTTCCGGATCCCACAGCTACGACACCGGAAGCCGGAAGTGTGAGTTTCGGCAGCGGGAGAAGGGAAGGGTGACCGCAGAACCCGGACTTTCTCGGAGCGCCAGGGCCCGAGGAGTGGTCGCGGCTCGCCGTTCCTGCCCTTCTCACGTCGGACCGACTCTGCTGACAGGTGTGGTCATCTTCCCGAAGACGGGGTACTATTGGTGGGCGTCCCGCTTCCTCCGAGACTCCCCCCGGACGTCCAGGCTTCCCCCTCCTGTTGGGCCGTGGCCCATTTCTGCCGCCTGCTTACAGAGCACCGGCCAAGGCGGCCCGATGCAGGAGGCGGGTTACCTTGGCGGCGAGCGGGACTGCTTCCACCTCTTCCTCTCCGCCGCCGCAGTGGAGTCTGACCACACCCCTGCTTCGTGGATGACTCTTCTAGTTCAGAGACATTTTCTGTTCATCAAACTTGACTGCATTCGAGGTTGCTAAATTCTTTGAAAAAGGCCCCAAATATAGTTTGGCAGCTACGTATCTCACTTCATGTGCCTCAGTTTGCTCACTCTGCAAAAACGATTAATGTCTACCCGACCTCAAATCGTTTCTGTGACTCGAGGATGGATGAGCCATCCTGGCATGTTCGAGGAACAGCGAGGAGGCCACTATAGCTGGAGCAGAGTGAGTGAGGGGAGAATACTTGGAGAGGAAGCAGTGAGGGGCCAGATAGTTCATGGCTTTGCATATGCCGTTTTAGGGCCTTTGGCTTTTACGCGCAGGGCAGTGAGGAACTGTGGTAGGGAACAGTGTAGAGGACGGACATGATCGAAATTACCTTTTAGGGTGATCTGGTCCCTGTGGGAAGAACAAACTATAGGGGACAAGGGTAGGAGCAGGGTGACCTGTTAGGAGGTTATTGCAGTAATCCAGATGAGTGGTGCTTTGAGCATTTTGTTGTGAAAAATTTCAAAGAGGTACAAAAGTAGAAAGAATAGCATAATAAAATCCCATGTCCCTCACTGCCCAGCTTTGACAGTTGTCAACTCATGGCCAATTTTGTTTAATTTATAGCTCTCACAATCCTCTTCCTTTATTATTTTCAATAACAGCTTTATTTTGATATAATTCTCATACCATACAGTTCACCCATTTAAAGTATACAGTTCACTGGCTTTTAGTATATTCAGAGTTGTGCAGCCATCACCGCTCTCTCATTCCAGAACATTGTCATGACTCCAAAAAACCACTTGCCTCCTTAGCTATCACCCCATTACCCCATCTCTCCCAGCTCTTAAGCATCCACCAATCTTTCTGTCTCTATGGATTTGCCTCTTCTGGACGTTTCATATACATGGAATCATACAGTATGTGGTCTTTTGTGAGTTGCTTTTTTCTTTTAGCGTTATGTTTGCAAGACTGGTCCCATCTTGTAGCATGTGAACGTACTAGATTTTGTTTACTTATCAGTTGATGGACATTTGGGTCATTTCCACGCTTTGGCTGCTGTGAATAATGTTGCTCTGAGCGTTTCTGTGTGCACATGTGCTTTTGTTTCTCTCAGATAGATACCTAGGAGTTCCCACGTTATTTTGAAGCAAATTCCTGACGCCGTATCATTTCACCTGTAAATATTTGAGCATGCATCTCTAAGAAAGGATTAAGAAACAACCACAACACCACTATCACACTTAAAACAGTTAACATTAATTGCTTAGTGTCATCAGATAGATTCTGGGATACATTACGACAGGATTTCCTGACGCATTAGATATGAGCTGTGAGACATAGGAGTCAAGAGGGACTCTGAGGTTTTTGTCACAGTAGCTGGACATCAGCTGACAATAAGGAGGGCTGTGGGTGGAACTGGCTTTTGGTCGGGAGTGCAATTTTAAGGTTAGTTTTGAGAGCACTACCAGATATGCAAGTGGAGATGTTGAGTTTGCTATGTGTCTGGAGTTCAGGAAAGAGGTCTGATTTGGGGCGTCATCAGCATGAGGACGGGGGTTAAAGCTCTGAGGCTGAACAAACTCTGTACTGGAGTGACTGTAGGTAGAGAAGAGACCCCAGAACAGAGCCCTGGGGCACCACAACATTGTGGGGTGGGTTGGTGAGGAGGATCGAGTGAAAAGATCTGAACAGGAGCAGCTAGTGAGGTGGGAGGAGAACCAGAAGAGTGGGCTTTTCTGGAAGCTCAGGGAAGGATCAGTGGCTCATCAGGTACTGCTGACGGGTTCGTGGGGGCATTCAGTGGAGCATTAACAGTTTATTCAGCGTTAAAGCTGTCCTCTCTCAGCTCAGGCCTGCTCCTGCAAGCTTGTATTGGGATCGGCCTCCTCCTCCAGGCAGTGAGTCTTCTTGGGCAGAATTTCAAAGGGCTCCAGGTAGTGCTGTCGCACATGGCCGACTTCTGTAGCTCATAAGAGAACGCAAACAGCTCTGCCTGTCTCTCTGCCCTGCTGTCTTAGGCTGCAAGCCCACCTCCCACTTTCAGATTCCTCAGCACATGTCAGATACTAGGTATCCCCTTCAGGCCCTCAGTTCCAGTGAACACTTACCAGGTTCTGAGTGGTGTCCTTGAAGCCCTTCTTAACTAGGTGGATTAATTTCCTAGAGCTTCTGTGACAGATGACCACAAGCTGAGTGGCTAAGACAATAGACCTTTATCCTCTCCCAGCTCTGGAGGCCAGAAGTCTAAAATCAAGGTGTCTTCAGGGCCTCGTTCCCTCTGCAGGCTCTAGGGGAGCATCCTTCCTGCCTCTTCCAGCTGCTGGTGGCTCCAGGCCTTCCTTGGCTTGTGGCTATGTCATTCTAGTCTCTGTCATCACGTGGTCTTCTCTGTGTCTGTTTCTCTTGTCTCTTATAAGGACCCTTGTCATTGGGGGCACCTGGGTGGCTCAGTGGTTAAGCGTCTGCCTTCGGCTTAGGTCATGATCCCGGGGTCCTGGGATCGAGCCCCGCATCGGTCTCCTTGCTCCACAGGAAGTCTGCTTCTCCTTCTCCTGTTCCCCCTGCTTGTGTTTCCTCTCTCGCTGTCTCTGTCGAATAAATAAATAAAATCTTTTAAAAAAAGGACACTTGTCATTGGATTTAAGGCCACTCTGATCCAGGATGATCTCATCTCAAGATCCTTCACTTACTTACACCTTCAAAAAAATCCTTTTTCCATATAAGATCACATTCACTGGTTATGGGGGTCAGGACGTGGACATATCTTGCTGGGGTCATCACTCAGCGGACTGCACGAGGTAAGGGGCCACCATCTTCACCCCTGCTTGGAGGTGTAGGTAGCAGGTAGGAGTCACAGCACGCTGGCACCTCCCTACAAAAATAATCCCGTAATTTCCCCTCTCTTGTGAAATTCTTAACTTCAGTTTACAGCCTGGAGATAGGTCCTAGGCAGAGTTTATAACAAGTGCTGAACCATGGCCTTTCTGACCCCACGTGTGGGCCTGCAACTCCCTTTGTAACGGGAGGATATGCCGCCTTGTAGATTGAAAAGCCTGTTTTAGCTTCCTGTTACACTTGATAAAGTGCTCAGCATTCTGCTTAAAGCGTGGCCCCGGAACTGCTGCACAGACCACACTCCTTGTCCTGCAAGGTAAGGGAATTCTGCGAGGGTCTCGTGTGACAAGTCCACTGCCTTTCTCTTCCAGACCCTGACTTGTTGGATGAGCAGGCCCCCCTGGAAGAGTCAGCCGTGTGAGATGGTGCAGCCCAGTGGCGGCCCGGCAGGGGACCAGGACGTGCTGGGTGAAGAGTCTTCTCTGGGGAAGCCAGCCATGCTCCACCTGCCTTCTGAGCAGGGTACTCCTGAGAGCCTCCAGCGCTGTCTGGAGGAGAATCAAGAGCTCCGAGGTGAGGAGGGCAGCAGGTGTGCTGAGCAAAACGTCAGCGGTCCCAGCCCTGTTGGTGGGGGAGGCTTCTTCCACTCATCTGTGCCTCTGTTTTTACTGGGTCTGGGGTGGCGGTGCACCTGAGAGCCAGCTAGTGATTCAAAGCCACCCTCCCTTTTTTTTTAAAAAATTTTTTATTGTTATGTTAATCACCATATATTACATAATTTGTTTTGGTGTAGTGTTCCATGATTCATTGTTTGTTCATAACACCCAGTGCTCCATGCAGAATGTGCACTCTTTAATACCCATCACCAGGCTAACCCATCCTCCTCCCCTCCTCCCCTCTAGAAACCTCAGTTTGTTTTTCAGAGTCCATCATCTCTCCTGGTTCGTCTCCCCCTCTGACTTACTCCCCTTCATTCTTCCTCTCCTGCTATCTTCTTCTTTTTCTTTTTTCTTAAAATATGTTGCATTATTTGTTTCAGAAGTACAGATCTGTGATTCAACAGTCTTACACAATTCACAGCGCTCACCGTAGCACATACCCTCCCCAATGTCTATCACCCAGCCATCCCATCCCTCCCACCCCCCACCACTCCAGCAACCCTCAGTTTGTTCCTGAGATTAAGAATTCCTCATATCAGTGAGGTCATATGATACATGTCTTTCTCTGATTGACTTATTTCACTCAGCATAACACCCTCCAGTTCCATCCACGTCGTTGCAAATGGCAAGATCTCATTCCTTTTGATGGCTGCATGATATTCCATTGTGTATATATACCACCTCTTCTTTATCCATTCATGTGTCGATGGACGTCTTGGCTCTTTCCACAGTTTGGCTATTGTGGACATTGCTGCTATAAACATTGGGGTGCACGTACCCCTTTGGGTCCCTACATTTGTATCTTTGGGGTAAATGCCCAGTAGTGCAATGGCTGGATCGAATGGTAGCTCTAATTTCAACTGTTTGAGGAACCTCCATACTGTTTTCCAGAGGGGCTGCACCAGCTTGCATTCCCACCAACAGTGTAGGAGGGTTCCCCTTTCTCTGCATCCCCGCCAACATCTGTCGTTCCCTGACGTGTTAATTTTAGCCATTCTGACGGGTGTGAGGCCACCCTCCCTTTTTGTTTCAGGTGGGATTCCCTGGAAATGGTATAGATTGACGTGCGGGAAGTTTATTTCGAGTTCTGTCAGGACCGACCCTGGGGGAAGGAAAGGGACAGGGAAGGGGAGGACAGGGAGCAGTGGCAGCGGGCCAGGGAGAAGCTGGACTGTAGTGCAGGCCGGCCCTGCAGGTTGCTCTGGAGCTGGAGTGACCCTTCTGAGTTGTCCCAAGTCAGGCCACCTGTGGTGGGGCTTTTCTGTCTCCATCCTGATCCGTCCTTAAGCAGCCGGCTATCCTGGGAGGGGCTGGCTATTTTGGGAGAGGCCCTGCGGCTCCTGGGAAGGGGGGGGCGTGACCTGCCCTGCGACGGATCTGTGGGGGAAGGGCTGCTTTCGGAAAGGGGGGGGTCGGTTTCTGGTGCCTGTGGTGCAGGTGTGAGCGTGGCCAGGCGGGTGGCTCCCAGAACCATCCCATTTCTGTCTTCACCACGACCTCCACCCACTCACCTGCCATGTCCTCACTTGTATGGGGAGGGGGGCAGCTTCTTCAGCTCCCAGTGGCCTGCTCCATGCCTCTCAGGTGGTTGGCTGCCCTTGGCTGGCGCACATTTGTGCCCACCCTGCGTGTGACAGCACCCTGGCCCGCCCTCTCTGGCCTTGTAATCATGCTTAGACATCTAGGGGCTGTCCTGGCCACTGCATGGTGTTGAGCAGCATCCCTGGCCTCTACCCACTAGATGGCAATAGCACTCTTCCAGTTACGCTAGCCAGCACTGTCCCTAATGTTGTCAAATGTCCTGCTGTGTTGGGGTCACATAGAGCTGGCAGTTTGGGGGTGGGGAGACAGCTCACCTTCCACAACTATGTGTGTGGCCTCTGCTGGTCCCCAGGAGGGTGCTCTGGCAAGAGGGACTTGGGGGCAAGAGTGTGGGCAGCCTGGCTTGTAGAGGGATCACGGCACCACCAGCTTCCCGCCCAGGGAGCTCGGGCTTTAGTGGCAGGTGGAGACCTTGAAGCTGTACCCTCCACCTGTGCTGCGTGAGGCATGCTGGCTCCTCACAGTGTTGGCGCTGGACATCTCCATCAGATGGCTGCTGTGTGTCCGGCCCTGGGTCAGACTCCCGGGGCACTGAAGGTGTCTGCCCCCAGCGATGCTCAGGATTGTGCCTAAGGAGGAGGGCGCAGGGGAGAGGACATAGACTTTGCTTGGAATGTTTGGGGGGAAAACGTCATGGAAGAGGTTGTGTGTACCTAGGGTAGGAGTCCATTTATGTGACATGTCCAGGAGAGGTGGATCCAGAGAGAGAAACAGATGAGTGGATGCCAGAGGCTGAGGGTGTTGGGAAAGTGATTGCAAGTGGGTTCAGGTTTCTTTTGGGGGGGATGATGGAAATGTTCTGGAACTAGCTAGAGGTGATGGGTGCATAGCTTTGTGAATACACAGAAACTACTGAATGACCGTGTACTTTAAATTAGTTGAAATGATAAATTTGATGTGATGTGAATTTTATCTCAATAGAAAGGGAAGTTGCATATGAGTTGAGGCTTAGGTGGGGGGCTGGGCAGGACTGCAACAGGTGGAGGGTGGAGGTGGTTGAGGGAAGTGTGCCTGAGGCAGGGGGCCCCTGTAGAAGGGCCACACTCAGCTTTGCTCCCCTGCAGGGGAGGAGTCACATGGGGACAGTAGAGTGCAGAACGAGTCTATGGAGCTGGGCTCAGAAGCCAGTGCGGTTCTAGTAAAAGAATGCTCCGTCGTCAGGGTTTTGACCAGAGAGTGACGTGAAGCTACTGCCCATTGCAATCTTACAGAGTTCTGTAGTTGTGAGAACCTTCGTGTGTCACCGAGCAGTTTTGTCACCCCTCCATGTTCTGCTGCTGCCTGGGGTGTCCCTGGGTGTGGGGCTCTTCTTTCCTCAGCCTCTGCTGACTGCCTGGCCTTGGCACATGCTCGCCCTTCAGCCTTTTGTGACCACTCACTGTGCCCAGATCCTGTGAGGTGGCTGTGGTTATCCCCATTGAACATGCAGATGAGGACGCTGAGGCTCAGGGAGGCCAGTCACTGGGCCACTTGAAGCCTTCTGGGCCTCCCAGGCTGCAGCCAGCCATGCCACAGGGCACTCTGCCCTGGTGGCCTTCCCTGAGTGTGCAGGTAGCTTCGGGTTTCTTGATTCTGAAGATAATGACTTTGCGCCCCGGGGCGCAGGCAGGCGCATCTTTGACCTGTGGCCAGAATACAAATGAGTTTGAGGAACTTACAGAGAAAGTGGCCTTTGGCACACACTTTTAAGTGAAGCTGATGTGTTTGGTATCTCTTTGGAGAAATTTAGGGGCTTTATCAGTAGCATAAATAGTTTTGAAAGTGTTACGCAAAGTAAGAGGAGGTGTTTCAAAGCCATCTCCGCATGCGAGCCCGCACAGGCGGGTTGGCGCCGTGATAGGCCCGGGGTGGGGTTGGGAGGCCCCCTGCCAAGTCTCAGCTCTCGGCCATCTCCTCTGCCCCCAGATGCCATCCGGCAGAGCAACCAGATGCTTCGGGAGCGCTGCGAGGAGCTACAGCATTTCCAGGGCAGCCAGAGGAAGGAGAAGGAGTTCCTCATGCAGAAGTTCCAGGAAGCCAGGAAACTGGTAGAGAGACTGAACCTGGAGAAGCTCGACCTGAGGAGGCAGAGGGAGCAGGCCCTGCAGGAGGTGGAACATCTGAAGAGATGCCAGCAGGTAGCCAGAGGGGCTGGATGGGCCCTTCCCCAGGAGCTGGGGAGCTAGGGGGTTCTGGAGACCACAGGGATGCCAGTGTTCCCCGAGGGAACGTGTGGTCAGGGCTCCCAGAGAGCACCCTCAGGCTCAGTGCTTCACTAGGAGGGCTCGCAGAACTCAGAAGAGCCGTACAACGGCTCCCGGTTACGGCTGTTATGGTCAATTACAGTGGAAGCGCCCAGGTGGGAATCAGCAAGGCGAGGAGTGTAGGGCGGGATCCAGGGGAGACCAGGCGTGAGCTTCCAAGTCCCTTGCCGGTGGAGGCGTGCGGCAGTGCCTTTTCTCCTGCAGCCTTATGTGACAACCCGCACCAGGCACGGCCACCAGGGAAGCTTCCCTGAGCGGCGCTGTCCGGGGACTTCAGTGCAGGGTCGGTCCCATCGGCCTGGAGCTCCCGCGGGGCTGAGCTTGGAAACTCAGTCTCTGCACCTGCACCGCCCCCACCCCCCACCCTGGGACGTGAAGCTGAGAGGTGTGGCCCAGGCCCTGCCAGGAGTCCCACTGTGAGCACAGACTGCCTGCCAGGGCGCTCGGGGATGAGTGTGCCAGGTTCCTGGGGCGGCCATGACAAGGGACCACAACACTGGGTGGCTGGAAGAAAGAGAAATGTATTGTCTCCCAGTTCTGGAGGCCAGAAGTCCAAGAGCAGGAGATGGGCAGGGTTGGTGCATTCTGGAGGGTCTGTGGGAGAACCTGTTCCAGGCTGCTTTCCCAGCCTCGGGTTGGGCCCGGGGTCCTTGGCCTCCTTTGGCTTGTAGACGAATCACTCCATGCCCCTCTCCGTTGTCTCATCACTTCCCTGCGTGTCTGTATGTCTCTCCTCCTCTTACAAAGACACCAGTGTCAAAGAGAAATACAGCTGGATGTTAGTTAAAGCGGTGAAAAGAGGTTTTATTTGGTAAAATTACTGACAGCAGGGGAAGGAGCGGAGCTCCACTGTGACTTGCAGAGGTGCCTGGAATTTTCCAGAGGGAGGGAGGAGGAGGAGGAGGAGGGGCTCAAGCGAAAACTCACAAAGGGTCTGTCAGTGTAAATGCGGGAGGCGAGCTGGCAGTTAGGGAAGTTAGCCTTCTCTCCTGCAGAGGGACTGGGATTCTGAGGCCCGAGTCTTCATGAGGATTCCTGTTCAAGGGAATGGTTCTCAGGTCCTTGAGAAAGACTCCTGGGTTGTAGGAGGTACATGGACATTTCAAAGGGATAGAGGAAGGGTTCACAATTGGGAACCCTCTTACCAAATGCTCTAAGGAAGGGAGGCAGGAACAGTGTTCCAGTGTTGGCTGGAACAAATTTGGCAGCATTGAACTTTCCTAGGTAGGCATGCCAATGGGTGGCTGGGTCTCCCAGGATGCGGCCCTTCGCCGCTAGAAGCTGTGTTTAAGTTTGGTCAGGTCGCCGAGTGCAGGGGTTTGGATGGAGTCAAAGTCATTTTGTGCTGATTTCGTTTGTAGTTCTCCACAGTCATTGGATCGCCTACTGCCTCCTCTTCTAGCATGACTTGATCATAACTTGATTGCATCTGCAAAGCTCCTGTCTCCACATCAGGTCCCATCCACATCCACAGGTACTGGGGGTTAGGATGTGGACATATCTTTTGGGGGCCACCATTCAACCCATCCCAATCTTGAACAGGTAGACTCAGTGCTCTTTGCTAAATGCCTTCAGAGCATCTGTCCGTGCGGCCCTGGGGGCTCCTCTCCACTTGCCCTGGCTCGTGTGATGGGATGCTGGTCGCACAGCTGACAAGTCCAACAGCAGTGGGTGTCAGAGTGGACATGGCTTCAGGTTGCTGGTGGCAGTGTCAGTTGGTGCCACTACTTTGAAAAACTATTCAGCGTTTTTTTCTTCAGGTTGCAAATTCGGGTTGCGCCCGACTCAGCAGCCTCACCGCAGGTGCGCATCTAAGAGCAGCTCTTCTTCGTTAACCGGCGCCAAAACCTGGGCACAGTGCAAGTGCCCATCACTGGAGAAGCCAGTAGAACCATAGGCTGGAAGTTTTTTAACAGCTTTACTTGAGATAAAATTCACATACTTTAAAATTCACCCTTTTACAGTATCCATGGCTTTTTAGTATATTCATAGACTTGTGTAACCATTGCCACTCTCTGGTTCCAAAACATTTTCACTCCCCCCCCCCAAGAAACCCCATCCCCATTAGTCATCACTCTGCATCCTCTCCCTCAGCCCCTGGCACTCTCCAGTCTGCTTTCTGTCTTTGGGTTTGCCTCTTCTGGACATTTCATACAAATGGAATCATACAATATGTGCCCCTCACATCTGGCTTCTCTCACCCAGCATACATATTTTTGAGGTTCATCCATGTTGTAGCATGTATGAGCACGTCATTCCCTTTTACGGCTGAGTGATAGTCCGGTGTATGGAAGTAGCGCATTTCACTTATCTGTTCATCAGTTGATGGACACTTAGGTCATTTCAACACTCTTCAGCTGTTGTGAGTAATGCTGCTATGTATTTCTTTTTTTTTAAGTTTAATTTATTTAAGTAATCTCTACACCCAGTGTGGGGCTCGAACTCATGACCCCAAGATCAAGATTCACATACCTCTCCGACTGAGCCAGCCAGGTGCCCCCAGTTAATGCTGCTATGAAAATTTGTGTGTGGACCTGTGTTTTTGTTATCGGGTAGATACCTAGGAGTTCCCACATTAATTTGAAGCAAATCCTAGACACTGTAAATATTTCAGCGTGCATCTCTAAGAAAGGGCTTAAAAAAGACAACTCAATACCACTATCACACCTAAAATAGTTAACATTAATTGTCTGGTGTCATCGAATAGACACAATATGTTGTGCCATCAATATATTTTGACAGGATTTCCTGATGTGTTAGATGTGAGCTGTGAGACACACAGAGGAGTCAAGAGGAACTCTGAGGTTCTTGTCCTGGTAGCTGGAAGATGGATTTGCCATCAGCTGACAAGAAGTAGGGCTGTGGGTGGAACTGGCTTTTGGGGGCTGTCAAGCATGCAGTTTTGAGAGCACAGCTAAATACCCAAGTACACATGTTGATGTGACAGGCCAGGTGGTGGGGGGTATTTGCGCTGTTCAGTGGGGAGACCTTCACTGAGGTGCGTTCCAGTCAGGACCAGAACACAGTGAAGGGCTGAGCCATATGGGGTATCTGGGGAAAGCATGTTTTAGAGGAGGGGAGAGCAAGTGCAAAGGTCCTGAGGCAGGGACTTGCCTGTCATTTTCAGGGAACACCAAAGAGGCAAAGATGGCTGAAGCTGTGTAGAAGTGGCTAAGGAGTGGGCGGGGAGAGTCATGGTAGGGGCTGGTTATGTGGGCTTAGTAGGGCTAGTGGAAGGATTGGGGCTTTGACCCAAGTGTCACAGGGACCGTAGGGGCTGCTGTGCTAGTGTGAGGCATTATCTGGTTTCCTGTAGACTGTAGAGTATGGGGGGGGGGTGGTGTTATGAGGTTAAATTGTGTCCCCCCAAGAGAAATGTCCACATTCTAAACCCTGTACCTCAGAACGTGATCTTATTTGGAAAGAGGGTCTTTGCAGAAGTAATAAAGTTAAGATGTGGTTATACTGGATTAGGATGGGTCTAAATCCAGTGATCGCTGTCCTTGTCAGAAGAGAAACAGACGCCAAGACACCCAGGGAAGACGGCCATGTGATGATGGAGGCGGAGATTGGGGTGATGCGTTTATGAGCCGAGGAGCGCCAGGGACTGCTGGCCCATACTTCCCCCCAGGCTCCTCAGAAGGCACCGACCCTGCCCACACCTTGCTCTCGGACTTCTGGCCTCCAGAACCGGGAGGCAGTACATTATTGTTGTCTTAAGCTCCCCACTTTGTGATTCCTTCTAGAAGACCCAGGAAACCTGTAGGAACAGGTGCAGGAATGGAGGAGGAGCCCAGGTGGAAGTCATTGCAGCCCTGGTGAGGGCTTCTGACCGGAGTGGGCCCTGGCCCACGGGGTCTGCTGCCAGGCATAGGTGATGTGGAGGTACGGGGCAGGTAGCTGGAGAGCTAAGCCGGGGCTCTCGAGAAGAGTCTGTCGTGGAGCTGTGAATTTGGGAGCTGTCGGCCTGCGGGGGTACGGCGGGCCTGGAGACCAGACCCGCGCACGGAGATGCAGAGGAGAAGGGAAGGAGTGGCGGGCGTGGTGTGTGCGTGTGCACAGGAAGCCAGGACAGGGGCGTGGAGTACGGGAGTAGCGGTTGCTGTGGCGGGGGGGGGGGGGGGGGGGGGGGGGGGTCCGGCTGTGAAGGACTGAGGCACCGACTCTGGGTTTGAGCGGCCTAAGGTCGCAGGGGACCTGGTCTGGACAGCTGGAGAAGGGAGACCGGGCATCAGGGGATTCGGACAACTCTTGAATTTTGTCACTGGTAGAGAGGCCTTCTGGAAAGTGGCAGTCCGTCTCATCTCTCCTGGTGGCCTTGGCTTGCGGAGGGGAGCATGTATTTTGACACCATCATCTTTAGGTCTAACCTCCCTGAGCATCTGCTGGGCTCAGTCCTCATGGCCTGCTCGTCAGCCTCATGAGACTCGAGGCGACTCTGTGCCCCTGTGTCTGCAGGGATGAGGAGGGGTTTGGGAATGTGGGGTCACGGGACAGTTGCCTGGCTGGGGCTTGGGAAGCTTCCAGAGGTGAGCGCGGTGGTTCTGGGGGCAGGAGAGAAGCCCTCCGGTGACGTGTCTTAGTCCCTGCCCACCGCCCTGGGGCTTGGGGATGCCAGGGGTGGGCAGCCGGCAAGAAAGTGTTACTGACAGGAAGTGGCTTTTTTTCATGCAGCAGATGGCTGAGGACAAGGCCTCTGTGAAAGCCCAGGTGACATCCTTGCTGGGGGAGCTCCAAGAGAGCCAGAGTCGTTTGGAGGCCGCCACCAAGGAGCGGCAGGCTTTGGAGGGCAGGTGAGTGGGAAGGGAAAGGCCTCGGGGGCCGCCGTTCGGGTACCTGGGGAGAGTGAGGCACCTTAGGAGCCCCTGGCGGGTTCCTCTGCGAGAGGTCAGCTGTGGTGATCGCAGGAAAGGGTTTCCCGCCTCCCAGCGGGAAGCAGGTGCTCTGCGTAAAGCACCCTGTTGTGCGAACAGTCCAGGCCCAGGGACCACCCTCAGTAGGCAAACCGTCAGGCTCTTTTCTGGAAAGTGGGGTTCCCGTAAGTGGGATGATTGGGTCAGAGGGCACAGATGTTTCCTGGGCTCTCAGGCCGCCGGGCTGCTGCCCTGCAGAGAGAAAGGCGGGCGCAGCTCTGCCGGTGCGGTGGGTGCTGAGGGTGCGTTGGGCGGTGTCCCGGCTGCCTTCCTGCCTCAGGAGGGGAGGAGGGGCGCGGGCGGGAGTTCTCCGCCGTCAGCGATGCGCGAGACCGTGTGCACGGGCTTCCGTCTAGAAAAGAGAGTGTGAGGCAAGGCATCGTTCGGCCCCGGGCTCGTGGCCCTCTTCTGTTTTCCCCCGTGTACTCTTCTGTGCCTCCAGCTTTCTAAAATCACGTGCACCCTTTTTAGGACAAATCGGTGTCTTTTCTGCCTGTCTTTTTCTGTGTACATGAAAGAAACAGCTGGAGGCAACTTTGGGGGGTTCCGGCCCTGCGCGGACCTTTACGTGGGCAGCGTCCTTTGGTGCCCCTTGCCCCGGGGGCCGGCCATGGAGATGCTGAGCTGGACAGCTCGGACACAGAAGCTTTGCTTGCACCTCAGGGCATTCGGTGTGGCCACTGGAAGAGCTTCCTACGTCATACACGCGGAGGCCCCCTGAGCCTTGGGCCTGTCCTGTTGCAGTGGTACTCCCCCTTGTTCCAGGGCCCCGGGCAGGCGGCAGTCCCATCTGGTGATGACGACGTCAGATCACAGATGGAGATGTGCTCAGTGTGTTCGGACGGGTGCGGAGAAACAGCGAGACCAGTGACCATCCCCAGGGGCCCCCGCCCCCCCGAAGCGGCCACCATCGCCCCTGCGGTGGGGACCATGCGAGGCCTTGGGCCAGCAGGATGACACGGCTGGAGCCTGGGCCTGGAGATCTGGGGAGCTGTGGGGAGAAGATAGGAGAGCGGAGTTCGGAGACTGGGGGCTGTGGGGCTGTATGGCTCATGGCGTGGGGGGGGGGGAGGGGGCGGGGCAGCCATTGCCGTCACCCAGCCAGGCGGGTGGGAGGCTCCTCTTCCGGGTGTGTGCATTTGGGACTGCAGCTGAGCCCTTGAGATGGGTCAGCTGCCTTCCTGCCGCTTCTAGAACAGGGACTGGGAGGGAAAGAGCCGCTCCCAAGCTGGCTCTCTGTGCTTGTCCCATCCATGTCCGGTAACAGCGCTTCCGCCCTGACAGCCGACAGCCTCTTCCTCTCTCACACGGAAGTGGCTCTGCGTTGGCGGGACGCTCAGAACTATGCCCCGCTCCTGTGCCCGCGCTCTCCCCGCAGACCGCGGAGCTCCTAGCAGCCCCCCTCCCCGCCGCCGGCTTCCACCTTCCTCCTGCTCAGTGCGGCGGGGATCCTGTGGGCACCCCCGGCAGGCCCGTCCCCGTTCTGCTGGGGGCCCTACCGTGACCGCCCCCTTCCCCTGTGCCAGGGCCCGAGCTGCTAGCGAGCAGGCCCGGCAGCTGGAGAGCGAGCGGGAGACGCTGCAGCAGCAGCACAGCGTGCAGGTGGACCAGCTGCGCATGCAGAGCCAGAGCGTGGAGGCGGCCCTGCGCATGGAGCGCCAGGCTGCCTCGGAGGAGAAGTGAGTGGCTTTGTGCCCGCAGGAGGGACAGAGACCAGAGGGCCCTCAGTGACTTTCTAGCTGTCGGGGAGCCCTTCCACGGACGGTCCCCGAGCGTGACCACACCTAGACGATCCATCTTTGATCCGATAATGTGTGCTCTCCACATGTTGACAGCATCCGGTCCCAGACCCTGCGTTGCTTTCGTTGGCATGCCTTTGAGTCCTCCTTTCATTTATTTATTTATTTTAAAAAGATTATTTATTTATTTATTTGAAACAGAGAGAGAGAGAGAGAGAGAGAGCGAGAGAGAGCGAGCGAGAGAGAGAACACAAGCAGGGGAAGAGGGAGAGGCAGGCTTCCCGCGGAGCAGGGAGCCCAATGCTGGACTCAATCCCAGGACCCTGGGATCAGGACCTGAGGCGAAGGCAGATGACTTTTTTGAAGAGCACAGGAGAGTCCCATCCTATTATAAACGTTCTTATTTTTAAACGTGTTAGTCTTAAGGAAAAGGATGCTAACCATGTAGTGAAGCCTGCCTTAGCGCTGATGGCCTTTAAGGCACAAATGCCCCCTGGAAGCCCCCTTCTGGTTTGTGGACATGACAAGAACGAGGAGGGTGGGGCTGCAAAGCAGAAACGCTGTGGCTGGAGCAGGACAAGGTTGTTTCTCCAGCAAAGGCTCCTCTTCCTCAGGCGGAAGCTGGCCCAGCTGCAGGTGGCCTATCACCAGCTCTTCCAAGAGTATGACAACCACATCAAGAGCAGCGTGGTGAGCAGTGAGCGAAACCGAGTGAGTATGGTGGGCATGTACTCGGGACTGTCTAGGACTGACTTGCCTTGGTTCCTCTCCCTGCAGCCTAGAAACAGAAGAGCATGGGGCCTGCTTCCCCAAATTTACCACTATGGGAGCTCGGGTTCTTACATGAAGACTTGACAGAATGGGATTTGGGGAGGGATACTTGACTTGTCCTGGAGCTTTGCCAGCGTCGCAATGTGACAGCTCAGGGCAGGATGTGGGGAGACCGGGATCCTTGGGCTGTGCTGCTTGTGGGCTGCAGTCGACTAGGCTGGGCCTCTGGATGCTCCCTCTGTGGGCCGGGAACATGCTTGTCTCCACGGCCAGTCCCTCCTGCCAGCCTGGCTCCTGGCTCTGATTTCTCAGAGCCAAGGTAAGGCCCAGAACGCTCCTCTCGCACTGTTCAAGGTGGCTGCGAGTCCTCTTTTGGTTCTCATCAGACCCGTACTGGGTGCAGTTTCTAGTGATCACATTTTAAGGAGGATGCTGTCAAACACGAGCGTGCCCAGAGGAGACTTGGAAGGGCGGGGTGTTAGTGCGGGAGCAGCTCAGCACGGAGGGGATGGCCTCAGAAGGAAGTATGGCCCTGTTCCTTGAAGCGCTGGAGGCAGGCTGTCTGGCTGGGGAATCTGGGAAAGGAGTGTCGGCCTGGGTGGGAAGTTGTGCCCCATGACCCCAGAGGTCCCCTCCACCCTCTGCCTTTCCTGTGTCCTGCCCGCGCTGACAGCCTGTGGTTGGCGTTACTCCGGCACCGGCCAGCCAGGGCGCGTCTTTCATTGCTTTTGGTTCTTCTCACCTGGAGTAGCAGCTCACCCCGGGCCAGCTTGAGCTCCCTCAGTACCCCCTTGCCCATGTCTAGGGAATGCAGCTGGAGGATCTCAGGCAGCAGCTCCAGCAGGCCGAGGAGGCCCTGGTGGCCAAACAGGAAGTGATTGACAAGCTGAAGGAAGAGGCCGAGCAGCACAAGATTGTGATGGAGACTGTCCCGGTGCTGAAGGCTCAGGTGAGGGCGCTCCTCTGTCGCCTGCTGGCCCCGGGGCCTGGTGCGTCTCTGGCGTCAGTTTGCGGTGGCTTCTCGGAAGCTCTTGGAGCCCCCTGTGCTGTTCCCTGACCTCTCAGTGCACTTGGGGCTGGCCTTCTCTGTGCCACGGGCTCTGGGAGGGCGGGGCTCTCCCTCGTCCCCCAGCATGGAGTGTCCAATGAATGGCCAACAGCTGGTGGGCGTGCCCCTGTCTTGGCTTTGTTTGCCAGGCGGATATCTACAAGGCCGACTTCCAGGCCGAGAGGCAGGCCCGGGAACAACTGGCGGAGAAGAAGGAGTTCCTGCAGGAGCAGCTGGAGCAGCTGCAGAGGGAATACAGCAGGCTGAAGGCCAGCTGTCAGGAGTCGGCCAGGTGGGCCTCGGAGTCCATCCCCATGAGGAGTGGGGCCAGGTGCCGCGCGGGTCTCTGGTAGTGACCGCACTGCTCTGTTGGGCTACGAGCTGGCCCTCCCTCTCCCCTCCCCCTGCCCTGTCCTTCCACTGGCTCCATGTGCACTGGCTGATTGGGTGGTTTCTCTTTTCCAAGGATTGAAGATCTGAGGAAGCGGCACGTGGAGGTCTCCCAGGCCCCCTTACCCCCCACCCCAGGTGAGTGAGCTGTAGGAGGAGGGCTGCAGAGGGCAGGGTGTTAGAGAAAGTGCCATCTCAACTCACCAGAGCTGCTCTCCCAAGTGTAGTACCCCCTCTGGGGGGGGGGGGGGAGGGGGGCAGAGGGGAGGAGCTAGTGCTGGTGACCCCAGTGGTCGGACGGCACGGTCCTATCAAGTCTCAGTACTTTCTGCTGCCTCCCCTCTTTCTCCAGCTCACCCCTCCTTTCACCTGGCCCTGCCCAGCCAGAGGAGAAGCCCCCCCGAGGAGCCGCCTGACTTCTGTTGCCCCAAGTGCCAGTATCAGGCTCCTGATATGGACACCCTGCAGATACATGTCATGGAGTGCATCGAGTAGGGGCTGCCTGCGGGGGACCAGCACAGGACAGCGCGCTCTGTGCTTTCCCGCCTGCCCGCTCCCGACTTACGGGCTGGGTGACAGAACGGGCCACTTCTGTGAGCCCCACGAGCTAGCTCTAGGACCTTATGCTTCAGCTCCCCCATCTGCTGGTTTGCCTCTGTTAGGGTACAAGGAACCCGCTAGGCCTGATGCTCTGCCCTTCTTCTTTGTGCCGTCTGCTTCAACCGCTTGCCTCTGGGGCTCCCTTGCTTTCCACCTCCACGGGCAAAGTCAAGAATCGAGGCCAGGGCTCTCCCAGAACTTCTCGAGCCAACACAGGCAGAAGCCTTTGCTCGCATGCGAGCTCCCATGCGCCGTGGCGCCAGGGCCCTTGTGGGCCATGTGGTATGCCGTGTGGAGGCTGCGCCGCCAGTAGATGTCGGCTGTCCACTCGTGAGGAACATTTGGGTTGTTGCCACTCTTGTGTCGTCACAAAGGATGCCGCAGCGAACGTCCCTGTGCATCACTTATGGCTATCTCTGGGTCGGATTCTTAGAAGCCGCACCACTGAGCAGCTGCAGACGGGTTAGATGGGCCAGCGCGTTGTCCCTGCTTCCTCAGAGCCTTGCCCGCGGGAGGGGTGTCCGGCCTGTGGGCTTTGCCCTCTGTCAGGCATGTGTTTCTCTATTCCGAGTGAGCCCGAAGGGCCTTTTCCAATTCTGCTTAATGGCTTGTTTGTATTTTCTGCCCGTTTTTCTGTTGGGCTGTTAGTCTTTTGTTCCTCAGTGTGTTTGAGCTCTTTGGTCATTAGTGGGATCGGCTCTTGTGTACGATGGAAATTGCAAGTATCTTCTTTCACTCTGACTTGGACTTGACGTTGGTCATCTAGGCGCGGCCACGCTTCTCCACCTTTCCTTCACTGCTTTGGGTTTACCGTGGTTGTGACCGGCTCGTGGCTTGACGGGGAGATGCTTCCCCCATGTACGCTTTCCCTTTCCTTCTCCCAACACCACAGCGTGCTGCTGTCCTCCCTGAGCGCGCTGCTGCCCAGCGTGAGCGGTGGTGGCCGTGTTTCCATCACATTCCAGAAGCTTGTGATGCTGTTCCCCGCACCAGCCCCGTATGCTCCGGCCTTTTGAAGGGAAGCCACTTGGTGATGATTGGAAGGTTATGAGCACTAGAGGGCTCCTTACTGTTGTTTTGCAAGATTCTGGACGTTTCCTTGATGTCCAAGCCAAGGGCATGAAGCCTGTGGTTGTCAGGAAGGGATGTTGGAAGTGGAGGAAGAATGCCCCAGCCTCGCCCGGCCCTCCTCCGTCTTCCCCTGGTTGGGAATGGGGTGTCGCTGAAGACAGCCCGGCTGGCGGCCTGCTGCGAAGACGAGCCTGGGCCGGGGGCTTGCCTGGTGTGTATAGGAGCGGGGGAGCCCCTTCTCCATTTCCTGGAGCCCAGATGTCTAATCACAGACGATCGTCCTTTGGGAAGATGTTAAAGGCACAAACAGGCCCCCCACTTCCGGGTGCTGCATCCCAATCCTGATCCTGTAGTTTTTCTGCAAAACTAAAGAGCACCTTCAGTTTTGGGGGGATGTACGAATTTCCCATGGCCACTGTAACAAATGACCGACTTGGGGGCGTAAAACGACGGGAATTCATTCTTTCGTGGTTCTGAAATCAGGGCGGCAGGGTTGGTTTCTTCTGGAGGCACTGAGGGAAAGTCAGTTCCGGGCCTTTCTCCCAGCCTCTGGGGGTGGCCCTTGGTGTTCTTGGCTCCATTCTCTGCCACCCCACTCTCTGCCTCCGTGGTTACGTGGCCTCTTCTTCCTCCTGACCGAGTCCTCTCTTCTTGTCTCTTATAAGAACACCAGGCCCTGGATTTAGGGCCCACCTACATCGTCCCGGATGAGCTCATTTTGAGAGCTTTATCTTCCTTACATCCACAAAGACTCTTTTTCCAACTCAGGTCATTTTTTT